AAAAAAGTAAAAAGGCTAACATTGAGAAGGTTATTTTATTATTTGTGTTTATGGTTGTATTTAGGATACAAAAATGTACCACCTATATATAGATAATAAAATGCTTCTCTGAATAAAAAAATCTAAGAAATTTTTTAAGAAATGACACAAAGGAGCAAGTCCAAAATATGTATCTCATTAGGACTCAGAGGAATGTAAACCCCACAATGAAATTTCATTCTACATTATTAAGTAAGGAAAAAAACGTTAAAAATGTGACTCTAACAAGTGTTTTATAAATGTGGATCAGAGGTGATCTTTATTACTGGAGGGGGTGTTAGTTTGGAAAACCAGCTTAGGATTCCCTGGTAAAGTTGGACATATATGAGTCCTACCTTCCAGAATGTGTCTAGCAGAATACCTAAGCTGTCTAGCAGAAAGGATGCTTATGAATGTTTGCAAATGCATCGTTTATAATGGAAAAACATCTCAATGCCTGCCTATCAAGAGTGGAATAAATAAGAAACTCATAGCATCTTTATACACTAAGACAAACAAAACCACATCTACTTGCATCATGAAGGCTGGGTCTGAAAACCATAATGCAGAACATGGGAACTAAACTCCGTAGAATGTATACAGTCTGGATCTATTCGTATATAGATTAGAAATAGCAATAACCAAAGAATACACATATGAGTGATTTTTTAAAAAAGCTATCAGAAGAAGAAAGGGACTGATTAACACAGAATACTTACTGGATAGCTGACAGGGAGCCCTTTGGGGCAACTGGGTTACTTTCTGTGGTGTGGTAGAAGATGAGAGGGAGAATCCTTTTGGCATACATGTCAAGAACATTTACCCTCATTCAGCATTAGCGACAATTCCTTCTGCACAGGACCACTTACACTGCTTTGCTTTCTGGTATCTAATGCTTATAGTATTGTGAATTCTAGTTATTGGTTTATAATTTCTTTAATTGACCCATTGGCAAGTCCAGATATTAAATTGTTAACTAAATTAATACTAATGAGGATGACTCTTTAATAATTATTGAACAGAATATAAACATTTTAAACTTGCCAATGTAAAAAGGAAAAGTACAGCTACTTAGAGTTAAGAAAGAGAGGAAAGATAGATGGAAGAAGAGACAAGTGAATTCCCTCACTATAATAATATAAAGAGCTATTGTACTGTCAGAAGTTGATTAATCAAGAAATAGAAAATTAAATATATTAAAAGTTACAAATACCTACTAGGGACACTAAAAGTAATAACTAATAAAAAATAGTATGTTAGATATCTTATCTCTTCTTTTTCATAGCAGAGATTTTTAGGTATATCTAAAGTTGATACCTCTAAAAATAAAAAATAATTGTATATGACTTAGAGTAATGAATCAAGGGATAACAGAAACAAAAGCAAGCAAAGTCATTACTTTTCCTCTGCTGTTTGAAAGTCAAAAAACATGAATTATACAATTGAAGAAAATATGTAGCATAGCCAACTTTTCTGCTGCAGCAGAATGCAGTGTAATATATGTCTGTTTTGATTCCCTTTTCACAACTCTTGTCTGGTCCATATCATAGCACCACCGATGGAGAATGCAACCTTCCAGCATCGCAATCACTTTAAGTGTGAAGGGCATGAGTTAGTTATTACTTATTCTTACCAGCCGTGGACCAGGAATAACAGTCTTCCGTACATTTATTGAATTAGAAAAGTAGCTACCAAAAAAAAATTTAAGTGGCCTATTAGAGTCATCAGGCTGTTTCATACCTCAAACTATTGTCTGTCTCAGGAGTGAATGTACCTTTAACCTCCTCTGCTTCTTTTTTTAAGTGCTAGGGATGAATCTAGGGCAGGCTCTGTGCCACTGATCTACACTGCTAGCCCAGACTTTCTTATTGAGCGTGTAGTTCTGTATTAGTGACAGATCGTATTGTCAAGGTGAAAATACATGAGGCCGGGGATTTAGCTCAGTGGCACCATGCCTGCCTCAAAGTGCAAGGTCCTGAGTTCAAGCCCTAGTACTGCAAAAAAAATAAAGTTGAAAATACATGTACCATGCACATAAATATACTCTTTCTATAATTTATACTCATCAGCATAATCTTTTCTTTAGCTTATTTTTCTTCCTTTCCTCTCTGTAACTGTATTTCCACCTGCCAAATGATCACACTGCAACTGAGCAAGACATTTATGTGCTGCTTATCAGTGACCAGTGCAGGATCTCTCCCACAGTGACGAGCGCAGTAAGATCCATCTTAAAACAGCTAAGATCAACAAGATGAACCTAGCAGTCCTTTTTTGGGGGGATAGGGGGTTTCTCACCTTCAACACTTCCACTTGTGTCCTGACAGACTGTGTTTCTCAAAGGTATATGCCCTTAACATTTCAAATTAACTTCAGAAATTGTATCACCTCAAATTTCAAGATGTCAGGATAAGGGAGAGTTTGCATCATCTTCTCCCTGTCTCAGTCAGAAGCTCATTTCTACCCAGAAAGGCTAATTCGTTATCATCCCTGAAGTTGCTAGGAGCACTCACTTCTGAGCTATTCATGATTATCCTGTTTGGCCCCTTGGTATCCTTCTTCTGTTTTCCCCGTTGCCACAACATAAGTGCTGTGAAGAGCAGAGATAACCAGCAGCTTTGCAGCTTTGTCCCCTGTGCGGAAGCCAGCCCAGGACTCCTGCAGCCCCCAGCTCCCGGGAGCAGTTGAGCCTGTGGCCTCTCAACCTGTGGGTTATTTGGCAGCATTATTGGTCAAGGTAAAATATATTTATTCAAACATCCCAGCAAGGCCTTCCTTTATGTTATTGATTCCCTGTTTCCTGACATCAATTATTTGGAAGTGTTTACTATCACCTGCTACTGCTAAGCCCGCTGCTTTATATTGTTGATTATACTGGTGCATGGCTGGCATAACTACTGGTAACCATGTCGTGGGGAAAGGAACCAAGTTCTCCAAATTAAAAGGAAAAAAAGAAGAGTCAATCTGAGAAAAAAGAGAACTCCGTCCAGTTTTGTCATACATAATGCAGGTGTTATTAGTTTGTTTTTGGATTATGGCAGCAATGATGGTTACTCTATGGAAAAATTTGGCTGTAAAGTGCCAAATTAGGTTAGATTTCAGTGCAGAAGCCAGCTAACCAGACTTTACACATCTCCTAAGTGAGCACACTGCAGCCCTGCCCAGAAGACCAAATATAAAAGTAGGAGTGAGCTGGGTGTGGTGACACACACCTGTATTCCCAGAACTCAGAGACTGAGACAGGAGGATTGCTGTGAGTTCAAGACCAGCCTGGGCTACATAGTGGGTCAGTCTCAACTACATAGTGAGACCCTGTCTCAAAAAAAACAAAAAAAAAATGTGGGAGTGGGCCGGCAGTTTATCTCAGTAGCACCATGCCTGCCTCCCAAGTGCATTGTTCTGAGTTCAATCCCCAGTCCAAATAGATAGATAGATAGATAGATAGATAGATAGATAGATAGATAGATAGATAGATAGATAGATAGATAAATGTAGGAGCACTACAGCGGTTTATAAATTTGTTGCCTTGCTTTTATATCAATATGTTTCACATGGACTGGAGACCTCAACATGCTCAGTGTTTGTCCTCAGCATGGACTTTGTAGCCTTTTTTTGTTTGTTTTCTGCAGATGTCTGGCTTTTGAGCTAAGTGGCTGTCTCTCATGGGCACCAGTACTGTGTACACACAGCGCAGTTGTGTCTGCGATAGAAGCATGAACTCCTCAGCATGTCTTCCATTTCTCTTAACTCTTTAGCTTCCTGGGAGAAACAGAGAAGAAAATATGAATATGCTCTCGAGCTCAGTCAGGACAGCATCTTCAGGATGTATTCATTATGTAATTTAAGGGGTCCTCATTCATGAGACAAAGGGATCACCAGTTACTGTCAACAGCTGACAAATGGAGTTGGGCGCTGTGAATAGGCCTGCAGTCCTGCTCAGTAGCCTGAGAGGTCCGAGGTACAGTGGGGGCGAACCTATGGCACACGTACAGCAGCCAGCTGTTTGTTATCATTGAAAGCTTTAAAGGCTTTGCCGTCCCTGTCCTAGAGGATGTCCAGATCTTCCCTGAAAGAGCACAGCAAAGCCAGTGCCTCCACCCTACCCTTTTCTTGCAACTCGCAATCTATGTGGGGTTTACTCGACTGTTGCACTGTGCGGCCATCTACAGCCAAGTAATACTTTCAGGCATGAAGGACCCTGCTCCTTCAATCCTGGCCTCAAGGAAATCCGAAAAGTCTCCTTCCAAAATAACAATGCCCGCTTCCAGTCACCATTCAGTCCAGAATTAAGCATTGTGCTATGCCTGTTGCAAAAGGAATTTTCTCTCAAAACTACACAAAGGGAGGTGTTCCTGGCTCCCCAAACCAAAACCCATTAAATCCCCCAATGACTGCATCCCACAGAAATGTTTTTGTAACTGGTGTCTCAGAGGGTCAGGAAGGATTTGTAGTTTACATCTTATTCTGCTTTAACTGGGGAGCCCCAAAACCTGATGCCAGGGCACTCTCTGGGGAAGAAGTATTGGGAATCTCACATCTCCAACCTCAGGGTTCTATGAAGTTCTTTTGTACAAATTCTGATTGAGCCTGACCCTATTTGGCTTATTAGCAGAAAGGATCAAAGTTCAAAGCGTCTTGGATGTAGAATGCTAATGGGTTTATTTCCTTAAATTTTCTGTAAAATGAAATAGAAAGAAACTGATTCCATCTGTAAGATATTCATCCTTTGGCAGGGTCTTTACTTCCAGTCTCTGGTGTTTGCAAATACCTCCTCAGTACCTAGTCAGAGTTGTGCCTGGGCAATTGCATTGCAAAGACGAGATTATTTTGCAAATCCGCTTCTCAGGCAATAAAATGTTTTAATAGCCTCGTACTGCACATTTTGAAAGATTTTTAATGAGAGCATAGAAATATATTTAATCTCTCTTAATTCTTAAAGATGGCAAGACTCACATGTTGGTGTTTTTTTCTGCTCCCTTTTTAAGAGAAAGGTGATGCTGAGCCAGAGAGTCCAGACAATGGTACATCGAATACATCGTAAGTCTCTTTCATGCTTCTATCAGAAATGACTGTTCTTTAATATGCTTGTAAAATGAAACGGTATGAGCATCTTGTAATAGTACTGATCATAAAGGAATGAAACCTATGGTTCTCTTTTCTCATGATAATGTCTTTTTAAATGCTTTTGGGTGCAGATGCATGCACTTTGAGGTCTTCTGCTTTAGCATAGTAAGAGGAATCTTGAAAATGCAAATGTTCCTCTTTATAAAATAAAAATTAATGAAATGTGAGGATGTGTAGTGGGGAGAAGGGAAGTAAGCCCTTTCGAATTTGGATTTCCACTTTCAGTACCTCTGCAAGATGGTAGAACTTTTCACACATACTGGGGACATTCTATGCCACATACCTGTGAAGTAGCCAAGTCATTTTAAAAGCTTACCATCTGTATCCCACTGCTGAATTATTTGAAAAAGCTACAATTATAGATATCGCTGGAATCTCAAGAGTTTGTGTCTTTAACAAAGCAGTTTTAAGCTAAAAAAACACACTTACAAAACATGTGTTCCTTGTTGTGTCTTATCTTTCTTCTTCAGTATTCAAGGCATCCAAATACATTTTAATGATGAATTCAATGCCAAATTAATGTACCAGTATTTAAAGAAAAAAGTTAACAAGCTATCAAATTGTTTTTATTTTAGCTCCATAGGAATCCTGAAAAATATTTATATTTATCATTTTAAAGAGTGAAATATTGTAAAACAGGCTTTGTGAATTGTATGTGTTTGTGGTTCAGTGCTTCTGTTACTAATAATCATTTAAAATGCTGTGCATTAGAAATCTCAGTTTGTGGTATATTATTGCATATCTTAGTCTGTCCAAGATGTGTTTCTCAGTGTAGAAGGTTCCTTTGGCTTCACTGAATAGCTTATATAGTTTGTAATACATGAGGTTATATGTTTGTCTTTCTTGGAATACTAAACATTCTAAATAGTTCCATTGTGTGGTTTCTGATGATGCAATGAATGTGACTGATCTTAAGTGGTTCAAATATTAGTAATTTTTAATTTTTTTTTCTTTTGGGGCTGGAAAATATAATGCAAAAAAGGGTTTTAATGCCATCTGGAGGCATTCTAGAGAATTGAAAAGGGTAGAATCTGGAAAATTTTGTTATTTTGAGTAACATGTAGACTGGATAAGGATTTATGCAACTAGATGGTAAGCTACTGGAGAATATTTTATTTTTTAGAAATTATTTAGCAAATCTGTTAATTATTATAGATAAAACAATTTTTCAAATTCTCCACAGCAAAGTTATTTCAGAGAAGAAAAAGCCATTTGAAAACTGAGCACATTATGTTTAATTTCACATATTTTAAAATCCTTTTCAGCAGATGCCAATTTTGCAATGCAGTTTGATGTGCCATTAACATTCTCCCTCCTTTATATTTCTAAAATGACCCTCAGTACGTTATTTCTTATAACATGTATAAAAACAAATAAATTTTCTGAGAAATTACTTTTAAACCCTCTGAAGATATAAGAACTAGAGAAGCCTGAAACATTACCTCACATCCCTTCCTTTCTGAGCAAAATGGTTCCCCAGTCACCCGTCTCTTGAGCTAGAAAAAGAAAAACAGAAATAAAGGATCTCTCTTAAAAGTGGAGAATTCTGAACTTGGTATCTGTAGAAGAGCCTCACTCACTGTGGCTCTCTTACAATTGGACAACAGGAGCAGCATGTTATGGAGATAGTGAGATTTGGAATGCCTTGGAAATGGGTAGCATTGACATTCTGGTGTGCTGCACCTCTTTTGAGCTTTATTGGATAGATAGAGAATTTTTATTACAGATAAGGAATCTGAGGATCAGAAAGGTCATTCAACTAAAGTAATAAATTAAGACATAACTCTTTTATTTCTTTGCCCATTTACCATACTGATAGATCAGTGGGTCCCAAGGGGCAAAGCTAAGCCATGAGTTAAAATCAATAAAAATACTATAACCACATTTATCTGTTAAGCAGCAAGTGTAATCATTTGCTCTAGCTGCTGTAACACAGTAGCACAAGCCAGGTGTGAACTTTCCAAAATGTATTTCTCAGTTGTGGAAGCTGGAAGTTCCAGATCAAGGTGTGTGACTGGTTCCTTCCAAAAGCAGCAGGAGAAGGAAGGATATGTTTCAGGCTTCTCCTTGGCTTATCCATGGTTGCTGTCTCCCTGTGTATCTTCACACCATCTTCTCTCATACATTTGTGTCTCTGTATCCTGTTTTGTAAGAGCCTCCACCTGTGCTCACTTTGCAGCACATACACTATAAGAGCCTCTGCTGTATTGGATTAAGTCCCATCCTAATGATTACCTACTTGATTGCCTCTGTGAAGACCCTGTCTCCAATTAAGGTCACAGTCTGAGGCCTGGAGGATAGAATTTAAACATGTGAAAAGGAAAGTGGGGGGTGGTAATTTACCCATAGAATTAAGGATCAGAGAAATCAGAATGACTCATTTACCAGGTGAACAGAACCAGGAATGTGCAAAATCCAGAAGACAAAACAAGGGGAGAGATCCTACATAAAACAAACAAAACATTATGGCTCCCTGGGCACTAAGAGGGAGAATCAGAGTAAAGGAAACTGAAGATACCAAACCAAGATAGTAGGATAGCTGCCTCCTACATCCTTGGTGTAGTAGGACAGATTTGATCTCAGTAGTATTTGTACAACCCTCTGCCTGTATCAGTCTGTGACCCTGAAAGTCATGTAAATCTGTTATATGGGCTAAAATTATAATGCAAATTAAGGAGTCTTGAGATAGAAAAGCTCATTCCCTAAAGAATCATCTTTCTTCCCTGGCTGCCCTTAAAAACAAGAGATTAATTACTACTGGCTTTAGACACTCTCTTGTGGTAGGACAGTAGTGTGGATAACACCTGAGGATCCCCTTAGGCTTAAGTGATCCTATGAGTATTCAGGAAGATGAAAGAAACAATTTCATCTTCCATCATCATCATCATCCTATGAGAGAGCCATAGATAAGAGAGCACCCAATTCCATACATAAATACCTAAATACACATCAATCCTTGAATAACCTCTAAATCATATAGGCATGGGAATGCACCAAAGAACTCAGTGGAAGACAATAACTATACTGCCTCTAGATTCTGGAATTTGAATATCACCCATGTTAGAAATGCTAGGTAAGCAACTTTTCCCACAAAGTCTCTGCCTTCAAAGTAAAAGAGTCACCCTAAAACTAACATCAAATCCAAAATAAATCCTTCCTGACAGAGCCAAGCATCCAAGAGTGTATGCTAGCTGATTAGCTAAAGATTTAATTGGCCCTGGGCTGGGGATTTAGCTCAGTGGTGCCTCATAAGCACAAGGTCCAGAGTTCAATCCCAAGTACCCAGTACGAAAAAATAAAAAAATTCAATTGTCCAATAGAACAAAAATGTCAACAGTTTCTAAAAAGTTTAAACATTGTCTAGAATCTCTACAGCACATCATCCACAATGTTTGGTATGTAATCAAAATTAAGAGATGAAGAAATAGGAAAATGTGATCAACAGTCATGGAGAAAAAAATCTAATAGACTGCAAGATGTCATAATAATTAGAATTTTCAGACAAGAATGTCAATAAAAACGTGACCATTATAACTAAAAAGGGGTGGGCCTCACCAAGAAAATGTGAAATATTAAGAATGAAATGCAAATTTTGGAACTGACATGAAATGAAAAGTTCACTGAGTAGTGTTAAATAAATGGTGGAAATGACAAAAGATCAGTCAGATCAATAAGAATTATTCACTATGAAGAACAGTAAGAATAAAGATTTTAAATTGAAGAAAAGAGCATCTGTATGGGCTAGGGATTTAGCTTGGTGGTGCCACTGCCTGCTTCTCAAGTACAAGGTCCAGAATTCGATCCTGGTACCAAAAAAGAAAAGAGCATCTGTGATTATGTAATACTATTAGTGAGTCTAATAAAAATTCATTGGAATATCAAAAGAGAAAGAGAAAATAGAGTAGAAAAAAATATTTGAAGAAATGACAGCTGCAAAATTTCCAGAATGGGTGAAAACATTCACTTACAGATCTAAGACGCACAGCAAACTTCAAGTAGAATAAATACAAAGGAAACCACACCCTGTAACACTGAAGAAAACTGAAGATACAATAATTAGTATAGATTATGAATCATCTAGCAATTAATTTGGTAACTTAAATCAAACAGTTTTCTTGGGAAAAATGGAATTTATCATAATTGCCACAAGAAGAAACAGAAAATTAGAATGACTCTCTTCCTATCAAACAAATTGAATTCACAATCAAATCTTCTCCAAAAAGAAAATTTCTCCAGGACCAGATGATCTCACTGATAATTTCTATCCCAATTTTAAGAAATATTTATACCAATGGGACACAGCAACCAAACTACTAGTCTTTCACAAGTTCATTCAAAAAATAAAGGAAGAAAGAAAACTACCCAAATTATTATATTAGGCCAGGATAATTTTGAACCAAAACTTGAGCCTCATGTATTTAAACAGAAAATTATAATTCATAACATATCTATTGTTTCTACTTACTAGAAATAATAAATTGTAACAGGAAATTTTAAAAGCAATTCCATTTATAAGGACATAAAATAATAAATTTAACAAAAGACATGAGACTTAGGGTTAGAAAACAGAAAACATGAGCCAGGGATTTAGCCCACTGGTGCTGCCGCTTGACTCGTAAGCACAAGGTCCCAAGTTCAATCCCCAGTGCCAAAAAAAAAAAAAAAAGAGAGAGAGAGAAAACATTTTTGAAAGAAATTTGACTGAATTAAAGAAGAAGTACAAGCAGTATAAAGCTTGATGATGTTGGTATTTCAGTTTCAACTCAATTTTGATTAAAAGGCCAACAGGATCCTTTTCTACACAGTGGTTTTAAAGGTTACTCTAAAAATGTTGTAAAAAAGCAAAGGACTTTTGTAGCTATAACAACCTTGAAGAACAAAGATGGCAGCCATTGCTTTCAAGATTTACTGTG